CTCCACTCGTGAGGAGGAAGACGAAGGGGAGGAAGAGGAGGAGGAGGAGGAGGAGGAGGAGGAGGATCGTTTCCTCCTACGAGTGAGGAGGCTCACAGTGCCGGACGGCTGATCCTCTACCTTGTCTCGCTCCTCCTCCTCCTGCTCTTCTGCCCCAATCTCGTACGAGTCTCTCAGCACCTTTTGCGCCTGTGCCGTCGCCTGCTGCTTCGCCTGCATGCCCTCATACTCCGACGTTCTCTCGCCTCCCCGCGACTTGCGCTTGCCCACCTTGCCGCTCGCCCAGAGCTCGAGCGCCTTGTTGAGGGAGAAGTGGGAGATGGGCATGTCGTTACTGGCCAGCAGCGCCTCCGCCTTCCTCTTCCTCTCGCTCGCTCGCGCCTCCAGCCTCGCCTTGTACTTCTGCGTCAACCGCTGCAGCTCGTCCTTGAGACTGGACCCTGCCCCTCTCCTCCCCTCTCCTCCTCCTCCTCCTCCTCCTCTAGTGCGAGGCACGTACACATCGTGCATCTGCTCCTTGGCTCGCTCCTGCAGGACCAGCAGCCGCTGCTGCATGCGGTTGGTCTTGGCGTCGTCCTTGTCCTCGCGGCTCATGGTCGCATAGCGAGGCACCGTGCGAGGAAGTTTGACGCCTTTCTTGGTCCCTGACTCCTCCATGTCCAGCTGCGCGTCCTCGTCGATGTCTTCCATCCACTCTCCCCTGTCCCATCGATCTTCGTCAAACGAGGTGTAGGGGGAGGAGGAGGAGGAGGAGGAGGAGGAGGAGGAGGAGGAAGAATCGTCGTCACTCCGGTAGTAGCTCGAGCTGTTCCACTCCGCGCTCCTCCACTTCTCCTCCCAGTCCACGTCGAAGATGCTCTTCATCGTCGTCTGCTTCTCCTGGTCGTACTTCCCAGTCCACCCTGGCGTCAGGTGCCCGTCGGGGTAGGCGCAGGTGCTGTGCTTGCATGCTCGCGCCTTGAACGCTCCGATCAGCTCCGTCCCCTTCTTCACCTCCTGCTTCAGGAACGGCTCGTGCGAGTAGTCCACCTGGTACCTCACCGGGTTGCCCCCCCCGGTCATCCACGTGTGATGGGTCACCACTACCATGGCGTGCCTGCCGGTGTTGCTGCGGGGGTAGACCTTGGAGATCCAGTCGTCCATCCACCAGTCGGAGAGGACGACGGGGTAGTAGGTCTGAAAGATGTACGAGTGCGTCCTGTGAACGAAGTCGTGCGTTAGGATCTTCCTGTTCCCGTCCTCGCACGTCGGCCCGACAACTCCGAGGAACGGAGGGTCGAAGGCAGCGAGCGAGGACACGAAGGCCCCGGCCCACAGGGTGCGGAACTCGGTGTCGTCGTTGATGCGGTAGACGAAGTCAGCCCCGTCCTCGAACGCTGCGGCCGCGAGGAAGTTGAAGATGGGTCCGGGCTTGCGCAGGACGTTGAGGAAACGGACGGAGGCGAATCGGGCGGTGATGCCCTTGTCCTTGGCGGGGGAGGAGACGTGCTTCTCGAACCACTGCGTCAGCTCCTCCCTCCTCTTTTCATCATCGTAGAACAAGTCGCCTGCGTCAAACCCGACGTACATCCGGTACTCGAAGCCTTGCTCCAGCGTCCGCAGCAGCGAGGAAAGCAGCACCATCACCAGCGGCGACTCCTCGAGCGAATCCCAGCGATACCCGCGGGAAGTCGATCCGAGGATGATGGCGATGATGGGCTGAGACAAGCCTGTTGCGAACCAATCAGCATAAAAATCCTCGTCACTCCTTCTCCTCGTCCTCGTCCTCGTCCTCGTCCTCTTCGTCCCTGTCCTTGTCCTCCCCACTCCTCGTTTTCTTCTTTCCAGTCTGCTCCTGCCTCCTCTGCTCCTGCTCCCAACTCGCCTAACTCTCTCTTCTGCTCCTACAAGACTGACCAGCAATTTGCTTCATCTTCTCCCCCGGTGCTCGAGCAGCAACGGCAGCTTCCACGCCTGCTGCTGTGGTTGTATTGTGAACTGCTGGCGGCGTCCCTTGCAGGCACTGGTCGTTCCATCCTGCCGGGTAGTGGCAGTCGCAGTTGAGAGACTTCCACCTGATACGCCGTAAGCTCCTTACCCGATCCTCCTCCTCCTTTCTATCATCATCATCATCATCATCATCATCATCATCATCATCATCATCATCGTCATCGTCGTCTTCGTAGTCATCATCATCATCATCATCATCATCATCATCATCTCCATCATTATCGTCACCACCATCACCACCAACTCACTGTTTCTTGACCGACGAGCTCGCTTGCCCCCAGTCCACACCGACTTCGATGCCCGCGTCCGCACGCATGGCCTCGCATCGCTTCTTGGTCTTCTTCGAGTGCTCCTTCCACCTCGCGTACTGGTCGGCTAGTCGCTTCTCGCACCTGAGGGATGCGATCAGATAGAGGCGGACGATGAGAGGGAGGAGGGAGGGAGAGTCGGTAGCAGGGAGAGGGAAAGGACATGGATGTGGAGAGGGGTGGGGGAGGTAGGAAGGGAGGACAGCGAAGGACAGCGGAAGGAGGAGCATGGGACCTGAGGCGCTCAAACAGCTCCTTCTCATCGGGCCGCGCGTCTCCTCGAAGCTTGATGATGGAGTCAAGGTTTGAGCACCTGCCAGGCCCGTCAGCTCACAAGCAGCAGCGTCACGAGTCACTTGATGCTGTCGGGATCCATGTTGGCCACCCAGTCTCTCCCTTCCATCGTGATCTGGAAAAGGTGTGAGGAGGAGGAGGAGGAAAAGAAGGAGGAGGAGGAGGAGGAGGAGGAGGAGGAGGAGGTGGTGGTGGTGGTGGTGGAAGAGCAGGAGGAGGAAGAAGATAGGAAAGCGGGAGAGGGGGGGGCAAGACAGAAGAGGAGGAGGAGAGCCAGCGAGCCAGCAAGAGGGAGGAAGGTCAGGAGAAGGGAGGACGGTCAGGAGGAGGGAGGAGGGAGGAGGGTTAGGAAGAGGGTTGAAAACGAGGGTGAACATGTCGCATGCGCACCTGCAGTTCCTGCGGGTCCTTCGCCTCCCCGTCGCTGCTCCTGCACCGGACGAGTTACTCCCTCCTCCTGCTCTCCTCATGTCCCACTTGTCTGCGGAGAGGTCGTCCTGTGGTAGGTCGGCCAGCATCTCGCTGCTTGCCGACCTGCCCATATCCTGCCTGTGCACGAAGGAGAACACGTTGAAGTGGTAGAGAAGGACGACGGCGATCTGTCCAGCAGCGTCAGCTCCGATTGCCGAAAGATATGGCGGGAAGAACCACGAGGATGAATTGCTTCTCCGTCCTGCTCCAGTTGCTGCCCTCAGCGCTGCTGTTGGCGTCTACGCGACAGGGTCAGTCTGCACACTGGGCATGCGGCGCCGCGCGAACCTCGTCTGCGATCGCTCTCGACCATGGTGGGTTGATGAAGAGGTCCTCCTCCTCTCCCTCCTCCTCCTCGCTCCTCGTCCTCCTGTTCACCACCCATGTCAGGTGAACGTCAGCTGATTATTTCCCCTTCACCGAAGATTGGCTCTTACTCCTCCTCTAGTGGGGAAGAGATAACTTCCCTCCCCCACCTATCTTCCACCCTCACCAGCACCGCTGCCTTCTCCTCCTTTCCTTCCTCGCATACCCTTTGTCTTCCTGTCTCCCGCACCCTCTCTGGAACCAAGTGCTACTGCTTTTGCCACTGCTGCTCCCTCCCTATCATTACGACTGACATGCTCGCTGCTGCTCCTGGTCCTGCTGTTCTTTCTGGTCCTGGTCCTGGTCCTGGTCCTGGTCCTGGTCCTGCTCTCCTGCTCCTGCTCCTGCTCTCCTGCTCCTGCTCTCCTGCTCCTGCTCTCCTGCCCCTGCCCTGCTGCCCTTCTGCCCTGCTGCCCTGCTGCTGCCCTCCTACTCCTCCTGCTCTTCCTCCTCCTCGTCCTCTGCCCTTCATATGACATGCCAGCATGCCCTCTCTTGCCACTACCCCCACCCCCATTTCCACACTTTATGACCCCATGAAAATAGGACACCCCACTGAGTCTATTAGCGTCCTTGTGACTCGGCATGACAGCTGGAGGGAGCAGTAGAGGGCGGGAGGAGGATGGGGGAGAGGGAGGGAGAGGGAGGGAGAGGGAGGGAGAGGGAGGGAGAGGGAGGGAGAGGGAGGGAGAGGTGGGAGAACGGAGATAGAGTGGAGGAGAGCAGGAGGAGGCAACAGGAAAGGTCGATTGAGGCAGATCTTTCATCCTCATCGTTGCTTTCACGTTGTATTAGGTTGATTGTATTACAACACCTCTCGCAAAGGGGAAATGACGGCAGAGCCACGGCTATGTCGGGCTGCTGCTTCAGGTAGAGCCATCAGGAACAGCAGCGGCGGCAGCCGTCTCCTGTGCAACAGTGCTCAGCGATAGAAGTTCGAGGGAAGAAAGGAGGAAGGGCTGGAGGGGAAAGGGAAGGCAGTAGCGGTAGGGGTTCTCACATTCTTCTCCTCCTCTCCCTTCTCTTGCTTGATCCCAACCTTGAATTCCTCCTTCACGTCCTTGTTCTCCTCCTTCACGTCCTTGTTCTCCTCCTTCACGTCCTTGTTCTCCTCCTTCACGCCCTTCTTCTCCTCCTTCACGTCCTTGTTCTCCTTCTTCACGTCCTTCTTCTCCTCCTTCACGCCCTTCTTCTCCTCCTTCACGTCCTTCTTCTCCTCGTCCTTGCTGCTGGTGGTTCCGAGGATCTTGTTCGACAGGGCCTGTAGAGAGTCAGCTGCAGCTGCAGCTGGGCCTGTCCTCCTCACCTGCAGCTCATACTTGGAGACGAATAAAGTGATCTGATGGGTTCCTCGCCAACCCTGCAAACGCATCTTTAGTTTCTACCTCTCTCCTCCTCCACCCTCTTCTTCCTCCCTCTTCTTCTCTTCTTCCTTCTCTCTCCCCCATTCTCCTCTCTTCTCATATTCTCCTCTCCCCTCCTCCTTTCTCCTCCTCCTCCTCTCTCCTCCCCTCCTCCTCCTCCTCCTCTCTCACCGCCATGAAGACAGTGTTGCTCCCCGTGTACTGCTCCGAGTTGAGCACGAGCAGGACGCATCCGCCCTGCATCCCCTCCATCTTCTCCTTCGCCCCGGGAGTTTGGAGGTCTGCCATGAGCATGCAGCCTTTCTTGAGGAACACAGAGAAATCCTCCCTGCCATCCTCCATCAGCAGCGTTCCTCTCCCTCCCGCAGGACGGCAGACTCTATTCTCCTTCACTGTTTCTGCCTCCCTGATTGTCATTCTCCTTCTCTCTTGTCAGCTTTCTCCCCTCCCTCTCCTCCTCACTTTCTCCCCCCCGTCTCCTCTCTTCCTCCCCACTCATCCTCCTCCCCTCTTCTTCCGCCTTAGCTGTCCCCTCAACTTACTTGTCAACGTTCAAGACGCGCTTGGACATGTAGGGCATGAGGAAAGGAACGCCCTCCTGCCTCAACCTGTACTCGAAGATGTTCCCCTGCCCCTGGCTCAGTCCCGCGGGAGCAACTTTCACCACCTCCCACCTTGGCTGAGTTCCTCTCGAACATCTTGACCCCCGCATGCACCTGAGGACGAGGAGGGTGAGGAGAGTGGAAGGTAACCTGAGCTTGCTCACCGTGTGGAGCTGTCCCCTGATGTCGGCGCCCAGCATCTGATGAGGTGTCAGGAGCGTGCGAGGGGAGGAAGGGGAGAGGAGACGACCTGTTTGACCTCCGCAGAGACGAAGTAGACCTTGTTTCCTGTCTCTGAGCTGCTGAAGAGCTGGGGGGCGGTCAGATGGAGCGGGAGAGGGTTACCTTCTACTGCACCTGATCAGCTGGAAAGTCTTCTTTGATGCCGTAGAACTCGCAGATGGAGTTGACGAGATTGTTGTCCTTGATAGGAACAAGGATCTCATACTTTCCTGTTGCCCGCATGTCAAAGTTTCACATCTCAACTCTTCTCGCCAAGATGCTCTACCTTTCTTCTTGGGCTTCTCCGCAGCTTTGTCTTTCTCTGCTTCTTCTTCACAAGTCGTCATCTCCCCTCACTCAGGCAGGTCGTTTGTCTCACTCTGCTCTGGCTGATCCTTCGCCTCCTCTCCTCCGTTGTTCTCTGACTTGACTTCGGTCGCCTCGCTCTCCTTCCCTTCTTGCTGTTTGCAGGAGCATCACAACGAAGCTTGTTCCTCCAACCCTCCTCCTCCTCCTCCTCCTCCCTCACCTTCACCTCCTTCACTTCGCCTGCAGTCCCAGTCGTCTCTGTTAAGTCTCATCAGAGCAAAGCCTCGCAGTCGACCTCCCTCTCACTTGTATCCTCCGACACTGACACGCTCTCCACCTCCTTCTGCTTGCTCGGCGCCATGTGGTCAGCGGTTTTCCTCAGCTTGCAGATGAAGAAAGCTCCTGTGTTCTGGTCGTGCGGGAGAACGCGCATGCACCTCTGGCAGGTAAGTCAGGAGGAGGGAGGAGAGGCAACGGGTACTACCTCCAGGTGCAGGTCTGCTGCGTCCGCAGGAGGGAACATGGACTCGGGGAAGACCGACTTGAGGTTGGGAGGAACGTCCTCCAGGTTATACCTGTGAAGACGATGAAGGGAGGACGAGGAGGGAAGGAGGGGGAGGAGAGGAACGGAGAGAAGGAGAACAGGGAGATGGAAGGCAGTGGAAAGAAGGACACACAAGGAAGAGGAGGAAGGATGCGAGAACTAGGAGAGGGTTGACGAGAAGTAGAAGGGAGTTGAAGACCATTTGTTCTCTTCCTTGCGATCCTTCACCTTCCAGGTAAGAAGTCCAGGACGCCTCTTCAGCTCTGCACAAGAATCTTAATATCAATATCCTTTCTCTCCCCTTTTTTAACCGTTCCCCTCTTCATTGCCTCCACCACAAAGAAATTCCTTCTCCCCCCTCCCCCTCGTCACCATCCATACAATTCCCATCCTCCTCCTGCCCCTCTCCTATCTCTATCACGACCACCCTGACAAACCCTGCCATCTCCATCTCTTCCTCCACTCGCATCCTCCTCCTCATCGCCTCCTCTCTCTTCCTCCCTCCTCCTCCCTCGTCGCAGCTCAACGAGCCTCACCCGGGAGCTCGTGGGACACATCCTCCAGCTCCAGACAGTTCTTGAAGCGCTTCAGGACAGCAGAGACCACCGCCTCGTTCTCGATCGGATTCATGGAGCAGGTCGAGTACACCACGATCCCTCCTGCCTCGCAGAGCTCCACCGCACGCGTGCAGATCTGCAGCTGGGTCTTGTGCAGCCCCATAGCCTGTGCGGGAGTCCACTTCCTCCACACGTCCACGTTCTTCCTCATCGTCCCATCTCCTGTGCAGGGCACGTCGGCGAGGACTCTGTCGTACCTCAGCGGGACTTTTTTCCCGTCCTCCGACTTGGCCCACAGCATCGGGATCTTCTGCGCCTCATGGTTCATGACGAGGAGCGACGGGCTGTTGATGCGCTTCATCTGGTGGATCAACATGGAGCACCTGTCAAGATCCGCATCGTTGGCTATCACGATCCCCTTGGGCACTCCATTCGCCCCGCACTGAGCATGCACGAACTCGAGGAGCTGGGAGGTCTTGGACCCAGGAGCCGCACACATGTCGAGCACACGGTGGTGGGGCTTCACATCCATGAGCAGAGGAGGGATCATGCTCACAGCCTCCTGCCTCGTCAGGTTCCCGGTCTCGGTCTCAGCGATGAGGTACTTGTGGAAGCGCTCCAGCACAGCCGTGCGCTTGATGGCCTTCTTGCTGATGGACATTTGCCATGCCAGCTCCTGCGGGTACCAGGGGATCAGCTTTGGAGGCTGCAGCCTCTCGTCGTCTTCGTCCATCTCCACGTCCTCGACGTGCAGGTCGGTGAAGCGAGACTTGAGCTGCTCTCTGATCTCGTCGGCAAAGGTGCAGACGGGGGAGATGCGGAAAGTTGTCGGCAGCGTGTCGCGGCATGCCTTGAGGAAGTCTTCCCATTCGGACTCCGGCACAATGTTCTGCACCTTGTAGTAGTCCTCCATGCTCTTGTTCTGCTTCTCCAGCTCAGGCCAAGAGTTTCTGTCATCGAAACCTTCTCTCTTCTGTCTCTTGCCACCCCTGCCGCCCCTGCCGCCCCCCCTGCCGCCCCTTCCGCCCTTGCCTCCTCGTTGTCTTTTCCCCATCCTGCAAGCCTGCGGGGCAAGAATCAGGACACGAGCGAGAGCAACAAAGAAAAATCATTATGATGGGATAGCAAAACCATCTCAGTGAGAATAGGAACAAACGATGAACCAGGAGCCACTCGACCCAATCTCAACACACCATTTTCTCCGGCTTCCAGGCCCACCACAAATGTTCACCTCTATCTACACTCCACCATCTGATTCTCTCTTCTCCGTCCCCCCTCTTCTCCTCTCTCTCCTCTCTCCTTCCCTCTCCTCGTCCTCGTCCTCTTCTCCCTCTCCCTCCCCCTTCCCCCGCAGAGCTCTGAGCATGGCACGTGCGGCCGCATTGCGCAAGAAACGATTCGTTTCTATAATAACCGATGCAACGGGCGAGTCTACTACCCACCTCACACAGTAGTGGTCCAAATAGGGGTAGGGGTCATTCTCCACAAACTTTCTTGTTGGCGGGCAATGGCGGAGGATGCGCTGCAAGCCGCCATGGAGCTCCTAGACCGCATGGAAGATTCGTACACAGAGCTAGTAAGAAAGCAAGAGCAACACAGACTTGTTGTGAAGAAGAGCAATCTCGACGAACAAAGACACCAGGTCACTGTGAGGGAGAATGCACAACTCAGAAAGCAATTGTCAATCGTCGCTTCAAAACTCAAGCTGGGATTGAAAGAGATCGAACGTTTGAGCAACCAGAATGCAGAAGTCAACAAACAGCTGATACAATCAGCGAATCAATGGTCGATACTGAATAGGAAATTAGAAGAGCAAGAAGCAGAGGTATTCAACTGTGCTCTTGATTTGTACGAGGTAATTTTGCTCTTTGTGATCAGATCGACGATCTCAAAAGCAAGCATGAAAAGGAGAAGGAAACCTTAACTTTTCAAAAAGATACAGAATGGCAGAAAAAAATCAACAAAGCATCTGATTCTTACGAGCTGAATGTTATATTTTTAATAGCGTTGGCCTTCAACATGAGTGATGATTCTGCAGATGAAACAAGCACAAGAAAAACATGCCAAGGAGCAAGCGAAGCTAAGATCAGAATACGAAGAAAGATTATTCTCAATTTCGTTGTCGAGAAGCAGCAACTCCAGGCATGCCATTGTACTGGTGTAAAGCAGAACCAACCTCAACTTGTTGCAGCACGATTTCCGAGGCATGTTTACAACAGAGACTCGGCGAGCTCAGAGAAAAACTGCAAGAGAGCGAAAGAGAAAAGGCAAAATTGCGAGATGAAATCAAGAATCTTGAAGCTCAAATCAATGTCCAGAATATCAGGACGGGCTTCCCGTACGGTGGACATTTTTGATACTACTCGAGAAACAAATCGCTTACTTCCCATCGCAGTTGCCCCGGAACGGAGTGCTAGCCAGAATGAGAACTTGACCACTAAGGGGATACCAGGAAAAGATAAGGTTGGGCCTCCTTTCAATCTTCATCTGCTCACATTAGCTACAAGCCGACGAACAACTGTAACTCCAAATCGAAAAGAACCCGAAGCTCTACCAAGCAGAGGCCATGCGACTCTCCATCTGCATCTAAAAGACAGAAGTTAAAGTTGATACTTTGCCTTTCTTTTTTGGTTAGACTTTTCTCAACTTGCAATCAGGTTTGTTAAGGGACAGGACGACGGTGATCCTTTCTCGTACAATTGACAAGCAATTGTTCCAGCCATCGGTTTGCACCGTTAGCTTTTCGTGCTATATGAAGATAGTCAAAACAAGGCTTTCTAAGTCCGTTTACGAAAAAACATTTGATCTCAGCTCTGGTGATTGATATTCAACAACTTTGCAAATTCATCTGCACTCATCCCTGTACACCTCATAAGGTAATCGTTTGCACTCTCTCCCGTGGGGGTGACCTGCTTTTGATTTCAGAAGGGGAAAGTGCACAGTAGATGGGAACTTGCCATCGTCTTAGCCTTGATGATATCATCCATCTTGAGAGGCCTGAGATCATTTGAGCAGTGTCGCTTCTCAGATCTGCTCTCCTGTTCGATCAGCTCTTGCACCTGCATAACCAATCAACAACCGCCATCCATCCTTCCTCTTCCTGTCTTTTCGAAAAGAAAACATGATGATCATCATGTCCTGTTCTCCCCCTCCCCTGCTACCATCTCCGCCTCCGCCTCTTTCGCCTCAGAGCATTTTCCTTATCATCACATCCATTGTCACCATCCGGTCTCACCGGGGCCAACAAAGCTGCACGGCAAAGTTCTTTGAGGTCGCTTCCACTATATCCCTGAACAGACTCGTTGATGCCGAGAAGCACAAGCAGGGCATATCTACCTCCGTCTCCTTTGACAGTTGGACGAAGTCGAGCTCCTCTGTAACCTCGTGGGAAAGGATCTTCCTCAGAATCTCCTATGTTCAAAATCAATCATTCCTGATACACACTTTCCAAGCAAGCCCACACCTCTCTTTGCTGTGCACCGGGGACATCGATCAAGAACGACCGTGGCATACGACGTAAAATTGCCTGTAGCTTGTCAGATTCTACTACGATAATTGAAACATCACTTTGTCAATAGCCCATGGCCGATTCGTAGCACCGATGACAACAACCTAGTAAACTCACGAGTTAGGAAATTTCTACTTTGCAATGACAATTGCAGGTAGGCCAGTTTGAATCTGACTCATACTTGTGCAGATGATTCTGTCGAAAGTCCATCCCACAGGGCCATGAATTCAGACTTCATGTTGCTAAAGAAACTTTCAATCTCCTTTCCATGCTCTCAAATCGTAATACCAGCTTGCTTCATACTCTCTATCAAAGCAGTGAAATCAGCTCGAAAGTCTGATCGAAAAACGAGAATATGGCTTACCCGTCTTTCCTCTCACGGAGGAAGGAATCTATCTCGTCAATAAAAATGATGGTGGGCTTTTACGAACGAGTCATTCTGAATGTTACAACAGATCGAATGTACCTGCAGCTTCCAAGCTAAGGTGAAGACAGCTCGAACTAACTTCTGCGACTCCCCAAACCACTTGTCCTGTGTGCCAACAATGACTCATCCAATAACATACAACCAAGGCATGGGTACCTGCAGCGTAGACAAGCTCACATTCAGAAATACAGCTCGAGTCTCCTTGGCGATGGCTTTTGCCAGCATTGTCTTTCCTGTCCCCGGAGGGCCATAGAATAGCACACCCTGCATCATGAACCTGAGCCAGCGCTCCTTTCTCCTTCCAAAGATTCACCCGAGGAGGCCGAAGCAGCTTTCCACGGGTGAACAGTTCAGGCCTGCAGAAAGGGAGAACAACGATTTCTCGTATCCTCTGCTTCTGCTCCTCAAGACCTTGGGAACGACTCAGGCATGGGGACAAGAGTCATCCGACTGGTTCAACCTCCGATGTCGTCGAATGTGACATCAATAGATGCTGGATTGACAGCTTCCTTCGCGATGACATCTTCGTGCTCGTCGGTCTTGATATCATCCCTCTAGTGGGTAAGACAAGTGACTTCTCTTGCTCACTATGTAGAACGTGCCTCACCCCAAGGCGTCGCAGCAGCTCCTTTCTTGACCTCTGAGCAGACTGACGTTGTTTGTGCTGCGGGTCCAACATGGTGATGATCCAGCGGGTCGCAAGGAGGCTGTCTCAAGAAGGTAAATGAAGCAAGCCGAATCAACCAGACAAAAAAGGAACAATCACCTCAGACCAAACGAAATACCAAGCTTGATGATGAGCTGAACAGCAGTTCAGTTCTTTTAAATACGAGGAACAAGTGTTCACCTCCCACACACGCGGATCAACTCGCCCCAAGGCCTTAGTCACAGCATTCACTGATCTGTCTAAGAGTTCTTTAGTTTCACGAATCACATAAAAAGCATCAACCAGAAATCGCTCCACCGTCACAGTGCGCGAGAAAAGGGCGAAAGACAATCTTGAGAAAGCCTTTTCAAACGAGAGATCAGCCTCAACTTCATAAAATCCTTCCATCATGTCATCCGACTCACCCTGCAAGTGCGCTCGACGGGGGTTGATGACAGACGTTCCTGGATCTGCCATCTTCAAAGATAAAGTCAACGGATGCCAATCACATTGCAGCTTAGCATTCACTCTTGTGTTTTGAACATTGACTTCAATCTCGGAAAGTATAGCCGATACATCTCTTCGAACCATCTCCATCCCTCGTGCCCTTTCTATCAAAAACTCTTTTCCCCTCCCCTCCTGATCCATTTTCCTAGTTTCTACCAACTTCAACCTGCATTCCATTCATCGGTCGTTGTGATCATCCATGATCTATAGTTCGCTCATTTCCTCCCCTCCCTCTCCTCCCCCTCCCCGCTCTTCTTTCCTCCCACAACTTGTCTGCATGGTTTGCAGGCCCCGTATAACCCCACCCCCCTTCCTCTACCCACCCCATGTTCAAAGTACCCCTCATTTTCTCTCTGACTACCCCCATCTTTTCCGTATGATACTACCTCACACTTTTATGCCACCTCACCACCCTACCCCTTCTGATACCTTCTAAGTACCCCTGATTTCCCCTAGACTATACCCCACCCTTCAAATCTGTCCCTACCCCACTGTTCCCCATCCAGTACCCCCCGATTTTCCATCAGATTTTTAGGACCCCCTGACAATACGTTTCTTCCACCTTACCCCACCCCCTCCTATATCGATTTCGGGTCAGAGTACCCCTATATTTCAGCCGTAAATCACCCCTGAGAAAAGGAGGGGTACACCACCCTGCCGACCATATAAGAGAAAGAATGTAGGGAAAGTGAAGCAACGACATGGGAGGCAGAGGGCGAGGAGGAGGAGGGAGGGAGGGAGGGAGGGGAGAGGTGGAATGGGAAAGATGGTGGAAGGAAGGGAGAGAGAAGGAGAGCGAGCAAGAGCGACAGGCACATAGAGGAGGAGGGAGGAGGAGCATGGAAGCCGACTGAGCTCAAAAAGTTTGTTTTGCGATCTTCTTGCGTTTGACTTCGGTTCTTTCAGAGCATGGTGCGACTCAGGTATCTGGTGTCCTCTGTGTTTGTTCTTCTTCTATGCTCGAGCTCGAGCATGGCGTACATCGTCCCTGGCTACGGCAGGCTACCCCTTAAGACCCAGCCTCAGTTTTCAGCGCGAAGTTGTGCGTCCTGGCGGAGTGCGGTCAGACCGAGGAGCGCAGTGATGACAGCAGCGCCAGGTAGGATGGCAGAGGAGGAGGTGAAGACCGTCGACGTTGGAAGGATGTACGATGGCTTTCATCATGTGGAGATGTGGGTTGGGAACGCCAAGCAGGCAGCCTGCTACTTCATGGCTAGGTTTGGCTTCCGGGAGGTGGCGTACAGAGGGCTGGAGACAGGAAGCAGAGATGTCGCTACGCATGTGGTTGAGCAAGGAACGATCAGGTTCGCGTTCAGCTCTGCTCTCACGCCCGGCAACGAGATTATGAGCCAGCACCACTCTCGGCATGGGGACGGAGTGAGGGATGTGGCGTTTGTGGTGAAGGACTGCAGAGCAGCTTACGAGGAGATCATGAGGAGAGGAGGAAGGAGCATCGCAGAACCTCGAGAGATCAGCGACGAGCATGGCAGCGCGATCGTTGCCACCATTGCCACATACGGTGACACAGTCCACACGCTAGTTGAGAAGAGGGGGTACAATGGTCCTTTCCTGCCCGGCTTCCGTCAAGTCTCCACCGTCGACCCTCTGACCGAGGTCTTAACCTCCTTGCTGCTGCTGCTGCTGCTGCTGCTGCTGCTGCTGCTGCTGCTGCTGCTGCTGCTGCTGCTGCTGTCTGATCTAATTGGACCCGTTGCCTTCAGTTCACGGCTAGCCCGAAGCTCGAGTTCATCGATCACGTTGTTGGAAACCAGCCGGATGATGCGATGGAAGCTGTTTGCGAATGGTAGTCGTTGTTCCTGCATCCCTCTTCATCCCCTTCATCCTCAATTCATCCTGATCACCTCCCATCTTTAAGCCAACCATCCGCCTCGAAGTCACAATCGCTCTCACTACCTCTCCTCCCCTCTCCTCCTCCCCTCTCCTCCTCACACTCCAGCGCATTCGCTATGACACGTTCGGCAGGTACTCGGACGTCATGGGCTTTCGGCGCTTCTGGTCGGTGGACGACAAGCAAGTGACGACGGAGTACAGCTCGTTGAGGTCTGTGGTGATGACCGACGAAGAGGAAAGCATCAAGATGCCCATCAACGAGCCAGCGCAAGGCCTCCGCAAGAGCCAGATCCAGGTGCGAGGAGAGGAGGGAGCGGAGAGAGGGTGGAAAGGAGCTGAGGACAAGAGGCAAGAGGACGAAGGGAGGATGGGAAAGCAGGATGGAAGTGGGATGGATGGAGGGATGGATCAGGGGGAGGGAGGAGAGGGAGGGAGGAAAAAGGAGAGGAGAGGAGAGGAGAGGAGAGGAGAGGAGAGGAGAGGAGAGGAGAGGAGAGGGAGGGAGTTGATAAGGATGTGCAGGAGTTTGTGGAGTACTATGACGGGCCGGGAGTGCAGCACATTGCTCTTCGAACCTTCGACGTGATTCACACGGTCAAGACGTTGAAGCAGCGAGGAGTCGAGTTCCTCAAGGTGAAGACGGGGTAGGGAGAGGAGGGAGAGTAGGGGAGAGCAGGAGCAGCAGCAGGAGGTAGGAGCAGGAGGAGGCAGGAGGAGCACGGAGGAGGAGGCAGGAGGAGGAGGCAGGAGGAGGAGGCAGGAAGAGTAGGGGGAGGAGGCAGGAGGAGGCCGGAGGAGGAGGCAGGAGCAGGAGGAGGAGCAGGAGGAGGAGCAGGAGGAGGAGGCAGGAGGAGGAGGCAGGAAGAGTAGGGGGAGGAGCTCACAGCTCTTGCAGGTGCCATCGGCCTACTACGACGACCTGGAGAGGAGGCTCAAGGAGGCAGGGGTCACGATCAAGGAGGACCTCTCTGTGATCCGCAACCTCAACATCCTCGTTGACTTCGACGAGACCGGCTACCTCCTCCAGATCTTCATGCGCCCCATCCAGGACAGACCGACGCTCTTCCTCGAGGTAGGACAGCTCCTCTCCCTCCCCTACATTCTCTCTCGCTCTCGCTCCTTCCCCCCCCCCCCCCCGCTCCGCTCGCTCCTCACTCTTCACAGATCATCCAGCGGCAGAAGCACGAGGGCTTCGGGGTTGGAAACTTCAAGGTACCTCCTCCTCTCCTCCCTACTGCCCCCCTGCTCCTCGTTGTTTCCAGTGGTGGTGCTCCTCCTCCACCACCACCACCACCACCACCACCACCATAATGCTTACCGCATGCAGGCTCTCTTCGAGGCCATTGAGAGGGAGCAGGAGCTCCGCGGTAACTTATAAGGACGATGTTATTGAATATGTAAAGCTTCCGTGAAAGCTACTTCTCCTCCTCCTCCCTTCTCTTCTCCTCTCCTCCTCCCTGCTCTCATTCATTCTCTCCTTCTCATCCCCCTTGGCCTGTCCCGTTCAAGTGCGGCTCACTTGCAGGTGAAGTCTCCCTCCTGTCCTCTTCTCTCCTCGCTTCCACGTCCTCCAGCAGTTCGCGATACCCGGCGGTGACCGCCAGCTCCTGCTAGCACGTGAATCTCGAGCCGCAACCCTCCAGTCGACTCGCCCCTCTAGTCCACTGCTCTCTTCCTCCCTGCCCTGCCCTGCCCTCCCCGCTCTCCCTTCCTCCTCTCCCCTCCTCTCCCCTCCTCTCCCCTCCCCGCTCTGCCTTCCTCCTCTCCCTCCCCTCCCCTCCCCCCTCTCCCTCCCTCCTCTCCTCACCTGCATGGAGATCTTGTACGCTGCTCTCATTCGCTCGCTGCAGGCTCGGAGCAGGAGGGAGACACTCTCGCTGTCCTGTAGGACCGTCGCTACTGGCAGAGCCCACGAGAGCACCTGCAAGCTCGCCATAGTAAATGAAACGCGCCTCCCTCCTGCCTCCCTCCTCCTGCCTCCTGCTGCCTGCTGCTGCCTGCAGCCTCCTTCCTTTCTTCAAACTTCATTCCTCCCGGCTCCCTTCTCCCCTTCCTTTCCCTCCTCTTCCCTTCTTCTCCCTCTCACTCCTCCTCTTCCTCGTCTCTCACCTCCCACTGCTGCAGCCGCTCAAGGAGGTGCGACAGCAACTTCCATGTCCGCCCGTCTCCCAGAAACCTGCGACAACCTCAAACGAAGAGAAAAAATGCTCCTCCTTCTACTCCTCCTCCTCCTCCTCCTCCTCCTCCTCGTTCTCTTCCTCCTTCTCTTTTCACCCCTCACCTTCTTCCTTGCTTGGAGTTGTCGGGCTGCCCGAGCGAAATCAAGCTCGACGAGAGAGCTGGAACAGGAAGCAGAAACTGAATCAAGACGTCAGCAAGAGACAGATCAAGTTGTGATGGGGGAAGCATGATGATGATGATGATAATGATGATGATGATGATGATGATGATGATGATGATGATGTTGTTGTTGTTCATGATGATGATGTTGATGATGATGGTGGTGATAATGTTGATGACGATGATGATGTTGTTCTTGATGATGTTGATGATGATGATGATGATGATCATGATCATGATGAGGAGGAGGAGGACGGGGAATGAGAGGCAGGACGAGGAAGGTGCGGAGGGACTGAAAGAGGGCAGGAGCAGTAGGGCACCTGTTTGTGAAGAGTCCTGACTGAGGAGGCGAAGTCACCCGAGACGATCTTCATGTCTTGGACATCCTTCTTGGTGACGAGCAGCTGGGTGAGGTGAGAATCAGCTGGTGAGCAGCTGGCGTTTCCTCCTCGCTCTACCTCGAGCTTGTCGCTGGTCACCAGGTAGAGAAGCTGCGCGACGGAGTAAAGCTGAGAGGTGGCGAAGAGACTGGCAAGATGCGACCTGAGGAATCATGAGGAGGAGGAGGAGGAGGGGGAGGAAAAGGAGGCGGAGGCGGAGGCGGAGGCGGCGGCGGAGAAGGAGGAGGAACAGGAGGAGGAGGAACAGGAGGAGGAGGAACAGGAGGAGGAGGAGGAGGAGGAGGAGGAGGAGGAGAGGTACTTAGAAAAGAACTCGATGCTGCATGGTGGTCCCATCGCCAACGGCATCGAGTCCAGGGGAAGGGCGCATGCCGAAGAAGATCCCGACGCTCCTAGGAGAAGAATAATCATGCCTTCATTCCTCCTCCTCCTCCTCCTCTCCGTCTCGCTTCACCTGCTCGTCTCGAACTTCACTTCCCGCTCGATCGCTTCCTTCGCTCGCTCCAAAAAGTCTGCGTGCCTTTCATGTCCTGCCCTCTGCCCCTCCCCTGCCTCCTCCTCCTCCTACCGATCAACTCTGCCGTCAGCTGATGCTCGCGAGCGTGTAAGGAAGCTTGAAGTACAGGATGGCCATGACGTAGAGCTGCTGCTGGACCAGACCGCGCCTGAAGTGACGGAGAGGTGAGAGGAGAGAAGAAGGGAGAGATAAGGAGAGATAAAGCGGGAGGAGGGAGGAGGGAGGAGAGAGGAGGGAGGAGGGAGGAGGGAGGAGGGAGGAGGGAGGAGGGAGGAGGGAGGAAGAAGAGGAGAGAGATAAGGAGCGATGAATAAGGAGTAGATTAGCAGAAAACAGAGGAGGCAACGTACCTGGATGATGGCGAGAAAGTGTCCAGCGACTCGAGGACGAGCTGGGAGACAGTCGTTGAGCAGACGCTCGGGATCGTTGCCGGCAGGAAAGAGAAAAGGCCAGAGCTTCATTTCCACCTGCAGCAACAGAAGGAGGAAGAGGGAGGAAGAGAGAGGAAGAGGGAGGAAGAGGGAGGAAGAGGGAAGGAGCAGGCAGGAGGAGATATCAGAGGTGTAAGAGAGCAGGCAAGTCCTTGACCTTCCTCGCACAGCCGGCAACCGCGTCATGATAGACGGGAAGGGAGCGAAGGAGTGAGAGTACGTCTGCTACCTTCACCCCCTGCCGCAATTGTCAGTGTGAGCAGAACAACACGAGGAGATCAGAAGTGAGGAGAGGGGAGGAGGAAGAGGGGGAGGAGGAAGGGGAGGGATGAAGATAAGAAGAGAGGGAGAAAGAGGGGATGGGAAGGAGAGACGGGAAGGAGGCGGAGGAGGAGGAGAAGAAGAGAGGAGGAGGAGGAGGAGGAGAAGAAGAAGAGAGGAGGAGGAGGAGGGAGAGGAGGAGGAGAGAGGAGAGGAGAGAGGAGGACCGGGATCGGGCGGCGCTGGGACTCGCGGTCGAGGGCGAGGAAGAGGAGGAGCTCGGCGGAGTAGGGCCAGTGCTTGGAGTGGGAGATAAGGCTGATGGTTTTGACTGCCGCCGCTGCCCCGAACTTGGCGAGGACATGGCCGACGACGAGGTGGAGGAGAGGATGCGTGAGAACGGACACCCCCCCAGCTAGCGAGACGGCCTGCTGGCATGCTGCCAGCGACGCTCTTCCTGCTCGTCCTCCTCCCAGTGTGAGCCGGGAGACGACCGGAGAGGCGGCAATGATGTGGGTGGAGCAGCGGGAGGTCCCGAGAGGAAGGGAGTCGAGGCCGAGGGGGAGGACAGGGGAGGAGCCCAGGAAGTTGAGCATGGGCTCCCATCGCATCCTTCCTGAGGCGCCGCTGCCGCAGGTCAGGAGGAGGACGAGGATTCCTCTCTTAGTGGCCAGCCAGAGCTCGAGAAAGCTGCGAGAAAGTGAGAAGAACGGAAGGAGGAAGCAGCATGCGAGCGCCGGTCTGAAGCAGAAGCAGGAAGGAGGGGGGCGAGGGGGCGGATAGCATCAAGTGGAGGAGAAAACGAGGACGAAGAGTAGAAGGGAGGGAGGAGGGAATGGCGAGAAGTAGGTAAAGTAGGGAGGGAAGAGGGCGAGGGAGGAGGAGATGGGGAGAAGAACAGGGAGGAGTACCATGACGGGATCAATCGCGATCTTGTGACCCAAAAATCGTCAACCTCCGTGGCCAGCACCTCCAGTTCTACGTTGTCCTCCTCCTGCACTACCGCCAGATCCCCGTTGACGAAGTGGAGGAGGCAGGCAAGTCGGCCGGTCCCCTGGTCCTGCTCCTGCAGCTCCTGCTCCTGCCTCCCGTCCGAGGGTACCGGAGCATCGCCGCCCTCGAGGTCGAAGAGTGAGATGGACTCGGGGTGTACAGCCCAGCTGAGCTTGCTGCTGCTGGTCTTGTGGAAGGAGGCAGACCTTGTCCTGCCCGTCACGTCCTCCTCCAGACCAAGGAAGGACCAGAAACTTCCGGCGCCGCCCGAGCCCAAGGAAGAGAGGAGAGGATGGGTATGGTCCCTGACGCTGACGCGGTACCAGTGCAGACACCTGCTGCCTCTCAGCTGGGAGGCACTTGGGGAGGAAGGGAGGGAGAAGGAGTAAGGTGGAGGATTGGGCAAGAGGAAGGAGCACAGTGGAGAAGGAAAATGGAATCAGAAGAGGAAGGAGGAGGGGGGGGGGGGGGAGGAGGCGAGGTGGTGGTGGTGGTGGAGGAGGAGGAGGAGGAAACCAACCTTGACTCGTCCATGACCACGAGCGCATCTTTATGGCAGTCAACAGCCAGCGGCTTTCTGTCTAGGGGGATGCGGAGAATGATCGAGAGGAAGTCCAGCCTGCAAGGACGTGATGAGCCTGACATAGCAACGTTCGGCGGCGGCAGTGGCAGTGGCAGGAGGGGAGGGACGAGAAGAGGGACATTGAGAGGAAGGAGGAGAGGGAGGGGGGGAGAGCGGGGAAGGAGGAACGGAGGAGGAGAGATGTAGCAGCAGCAGCAGCAGCAGAAGGAGATAACTCTTACCTCTCTCGCGAGAAGAGTAGGATCTCATAGGAGGACTCTGAGCTGCTCGAGCTCGTGGCGGCTCCTGGCGTCTCGTTGAGGAAGAGGATGCAGTGCTGGAGCCACAAGAGCCCAGCACACAGCAGCGAGTACTCCTGCCGTGCTCACGTCACCCTCCCCCTCCTCACACGCCTCCCACCTGGTGCACGTCGCCGAACAGCCGCCAGCGCGACAGGATGCGATCGAAGACACAGAAGCCTCGAGTGCAAGACACGGCGAGGAAGCGCTCGGACTCGTCCATAGCCGCGTGAGTGACGCTTCCCCGCTCGTCGGTGTAGGCGTCAGGGAGGAGGATGTGTAACCACCCCTCTCCACCTAGCGAGGTCGGCAGCCCCCCCAGAGGATCGTCGGCGTTGTAACTTTCCGCCCCCTTGGCGAGGGACGAGATCTCCGTGCGCAGAACAAGCAGGCGATCTTCGCCCTGGAGGACCGAGCGGTCTGATCCGACTCTGCTTCCTCCTCCACTGCTCCTACTCCGCGTGTTGAAGGAGGGGCGCACAAGCGACAGCTCGTAGATGTACCCGTCGGACCCTCTTGAAACAAGCAGCTTGTACCCGTCCCCGCTCCAGCACACTGCCCCATTCTCTCCCTCATGCAGGTCCTCCTGCGCAGCGGAGAGGGCAGGGACCATCACTCGATGCCCCTCCGCCTCCTCCCCAGCAGGTCGGAGAGCTGTTCCCGTGCAGCTCCCGGAGAAGGACCAGAGCTTGAGGTAGTTCCCGGTCCTCTTTCCTCCTGCATACAGGCACGCCAGGGTACTGCAACCGCTATCCCACGCCATGGCCGTCACTGCGCAGCCCTGCATCCCTCCCTGAGCCTCTGCGAGCATCTCTCCGAGCGGCTCCACCCTCAGCTGATCACCAGATGGGCTCTGCTGGACGTTGAACGACAACACGGTGCCCCTCCTCGTCCCCACATAGACCCAGCATGACAGGGGGGAGTGCTCTTGCCGAAGGCTACGCAGGAGCTGTCGGTGGGAGAGAGCGTCTGCTTGCAGCAGAGAGTCCTCCTGCCCTCCTCCTCCTGTTGACCGTCATCGCCCTTTTCAAAGCGCAACCAGCTGAAACGAGATCGAGTCTCCTCCATCTGCTCAGGCGCCTGGGCGACTGCTGACGATCCCTCTTTCTGCACGAAGGCGTAGAGACCATTCTTGAGGTTTGAACAGATCTGCTTCATTGCCGTCGGAAGAGATGTTTCGACCTCTGACATGTCGATGGTCACTACTGCTCTCGTTACCTCCTCTTCCTCCTCCACGTTGAGATGTTGTCTTTTCTCCTGCTGAATTCTGGTCTCTTCCTTCACTCCTGTATACCCTCGTTATCAGCATCCAAAAAGGCGCATTGACTTCTCCTCTTACAACCCTAAAGTTTCATCCCCCCCCCCCCCCCGC